GATGTATTTACCAAATCATTGCCTATTGTACAACATGAAACAATGTTAACCAGACTTGGATTTGAACAAATGTAATTGATGCTATATTGTTGTAATCAATTGTCTGTATTATTTTAGAGTAGAGTAGAAAAATCTAGCTTGGGCAAAACACCTACTGGGAATGGGTCAACATTTTTCCCCCCACAACTGGTTATCCTTCTAAAATGACCATTCAATTACTGCTCAGGCTGCAACAGACACATAGGATTGAGAGTAAACACTGTTTATTCCACATTCATCTTCTTTTCTTTGCTTTCCAATAATTTTCTCTTTGGAAAGCCATGGACTCACATGAGACTTCTTTCTTTTTAAATCTACAAAAGAAAAAGTAAACTAAACCCAGATGGCAATGAAAAGATGATGAAAAATGCAAGCACTGAACTTCTTCCTGGAGGCATAAAGACTTCTGTGAGTCACATAAATGCTTGTAGCCAGGCTTACTTAAAATGACTCTGTTGCTGTGCAAATCATAAACACCTCTTTGTTATTTATGGAATGGATTATCTAGTAAAGCACAGAGATTTCCTTTCTCTTATTTTTAAATGTCCTCCTTTTAATCTGACTGCAAGAAATATTACCTATAGTTTAGCAAATGAATGCTTCTGATGACACTGCATCCTAATGTTGAGGAGGTGAGAAGATATACTGCTATCATATAATTTTTTTCTGTAGATTATTATTCCCCCAGTCCAACTTGCATTTTCCATCATTTCACCTGCCTATTTTGCATCTCCTGTTTATTTAAATTCTGCTTAATTTGACTTCCAGGGAAGCAATGGCAAACTAAAGATGGCTCTGTTGACAACAGAGCTGATGACTGTGGTGGAACGAGAAATCGGCGAATGGACCAGTTTCTCAGAATTCCTCTCCGGACAAGGAGAGGACTTGGAATTGGCCACAAACACTTCAGACAGTAGCCCTCTGTGAGGAGACCATAAGACAGCAGTCTCCAGCGGGTTTAGAGCTCTGGGAGCCGAGGGATTGCCATCTTTGCCTAAGCCATGGTTCAGCACCTTCGAAACAACACTGGGTTTGCATACTTCCTTTTTTAATCACTTTTGGAAATTGCTTGTTAACTGCTTTTTGGATTCAGAATGGCAAGTGTCATTGCACCTGGTGAGTGTCCTTCAGTCCTTAGCAAAAGAAGTTTTATGTAGGTTGAAGGACTTAACAAACTATTTTGGAATAAACAGCAAAAGGGTGATTAGAATACTGATTTTGGAAAGTTATTAATGGACTAAGGGGCCAGATGGATTTGAAATAAGATTTTGAAACTGATTACAAGAATATTTCCTGTGGGAAAATGCTGTTGACCAGGAAAAAAAAAAAAGATAAGATGGGACTTTGAAGATTGTACACTAGAGGGAAACAGGAAGAAGTAAAAGATTATAATTAAAGGAGATGAGACCCACTAATACAGAATGGAGCAAATTACTCTAACTTAGGATGAATTCAAGGATATTTGG